CCATTTTTTGTTTTTAAATTTGATTTAATAGACGTTGACGAATGTAAAGGAAACCACGCTTGTCACGAAAGTGCAAACTGCACCAACACCATTGGATCACACGTATGCGATTGTCAGCCTGGATATACTGGAAACGGACAAAATTGCACAGGTGGATTTTAAAAGATTTTTGTTTGAATAATAGAGAGGCCTTGACTGTGCTCTTTCCTGTTGTAAAGCACGCAGAAAGCGGCTAGAACAGAAAGAAGTGTAGAGAGAAACACGAGACGTAGTCGGGGAGGATATCTGTCTTTGCTCACTTTATTATCACGTGAATTACGGCGCTTGGCATGTTTAGAAACCTTAATTAGGATTTTCTGTTGCTACTTGCCGGCTCCCGTGTTCCGAAATTTCACTTTTAATTAACGAAAAAAAGGTAGAGAGAAGTCCGGGAAATGGTCGAACATAGTACATTTTCTCAGAGGCGTGACAGCTTGAGCTCAGTACTAAATTTTGTATTCTGATGAAGCAAGCTCTTTTAACCAATGGCAGCGTGCGTTATATCCGAACTTTATTGAAAAGCCCTTCCGAACCTGGCTGGAAAAGAGCAACTTGAACACCATTGTAATCGGCATTGCTAGAAAATACGATCCCTGATGAATTGTTTTACACCGCCATCAATTGTGTTACGGACCCCCTATAGTCGTGTTTCATTTTTGTAAATGAATATCTTTCATGCTTTTTGTATCTTTCTGCCCTTGTGTAGGCGTTGCAATGATAGCAGACGACTGTGTAAAACGAAATCGCAAGTTTTACTCTGAACCTTAGAGCTAGAAGGTGTAAAATTTCGTAAATGTGATCAACAACAAAATGAAGATTAAATAAAGAGTCAAACATCTATGTATAAACAAAACGTTAACGATCGGAGGCATAAAGACTACCGTATAGACTACCCAACGCGTTCGACTACAGCGCCGCACCATTCAGCTGCGTTAACTCATAACTCGGTTTAATTTATCTAAGCAGCCGTTTCTCATGTTAAGGACCTTTTGGGTAATGTTCCCAACATTAAATGAACGATTTCGGTGACTAATGCATTGTCATTCTGCTTTTAAATATATCCTATAAAAATGATTGACAAAAGCATGAAAATAAAATCGCTCGTTTGGCTATGAACCCTGTGCACAGGATGTGTGCACAGGATGGATGATAAAAATAAAAAAAAATAAAATAAAAAAGAAAATTAAAAAATTAAAATTAAAAAACTCTTACAATCCCTAACTTTAAAAGATTCCCTTAATAATAGCAAAAATGATAAATGAAACTCATTTGACTTATGCGAGCTTATTCGAGTTATGATAATGGATAATTTTAAAGTGAGAAGCGTGATAAAGAGCAAACGTATATATGGTTTCTCAGATATGGACAAATGTAAAGGAAATCACTCTTGTCACATGAATGCTACCTGCACAAACGCCAACGGATCCTATGTTTGTGAATTCCAGCCTGGATTTAATGAAAATGGTCAAAGCCGCATAGGTGAATTTAATCGCTTTGCTATTAATATTTAGAATATTCCTGCTCAAATCTTTAAACAAGACTAAGGTTTCTAATCTTATGCTCGGCAACTTCTTCCCAATTGCATTTTTTTAAACTTTATTCTTTTTTATGTTTATCCTTTTACAGATATAAACGAGTGTAAAGGAAATCACTCTTGCCACGCGAATGCTACATGCATGAACACCAAAGGATCGTATGTCTGTACTTGTCACCTCGGATATACTGGAAATAGAAGCGACTGTACAGGTACTTGATACATTTCTTTTGAAACCATTTCCATCAGAAAGAAAAACACTATGATATTTGTGAGACTTGCTTCAAAATTTGATAGAGGAATCTGCAGACTCGAGACTTAACTGAAATGAAATAATTTTAAAGTTTAATCGCCCATGTGGATTTATATTAACAACTCACTTGTAGTAAACTATCCTCGGTTTGTGCTTGTCGTTACACTCTCAAAGAGGATAATTTCGTTGTCCTTCAAGTGGTTTATGAAACCGAAAATTCAAGGCTGATAATGATCCGAAAGAGCCAAGGTTAGGATATTCAAGAACAAATATAACGTGGACGGTTCGTTGAAACGACTGCTAAGTCACTTTTCAACACAACGCGACGGTCTTCTCGACCCAGTTTTTCTCGGCATTTTTGCTGCGCGCGCCGTTCTGAAATGACGTTCCCGTCCTCTTGCTAAACCGCTCTATTAACGAGTGTAGAGGAAATCATTCCTATCACGTGAATGCTACATGCATGAATACCCTCAGATCACATGTATATGAATGTCACCCTGGATATGCTGGAAATGAACAAAACTGCAACAGGCGAATTTAATCTCTTTCCGGAATATTCATGACATAATTGACTCCAGCGCCGCACCATTCAGCCGCGTTCACTCATAACTCGTAATATAAGCAGCGGTTTTTCATGAAGGCGATGAAATGTTTATTTTGTTTCCCGCGTTGAAAGTAGCAGTCAATTCCTACGAGTTGACTTTCCTCCGAAATTCACATCGAGGAAGCATAATTTTATGCTACCTTGTGTACAAAAACGAATCATTTTTTGATTATGTTTTAAATGATTTAACAACCATACACGAACTTTTACATGATGTAGACAACTAAAAAACCTTCAAGAATACCAAACCTTTAAAGATTCCCTAATAATAATAATAGCTGCTATGATCCTTATTTGACTTATGCAAACCGATGAATGAGTTGCCAGCAATCGGATCCTTGTGTTTTCGCAAAGATTTCTGGGAACGCCACGGGGTAAAAATTACAACTCTCTAGAAATAAATGTATGGCGAAAGGCTGTTTCCAGGTCCAAAGAAACGTTTACGAAGAGAGATCACCGCTTTTTTTTTTGCCGCTGCTTTATCATAATTGGAGTGGGTAATGTTGATTCAAGGGAAGCGTAAGTTTTGTTTCAACAACCATGAAATATGAAGTAAAATGAGCCGATTGACTCTTCACCATGCGCACGGTTTATTGTGAAATTGACATCGTGTTCTGGTCTCGAAATTTAGACATATTAGCCTTTTCAGTTTTGTTTACGTGTGTTAAGTCTAGTTATAGCTTCTAGCTTTTTTCTTGGCATGGTAATACAAAAGAGCGCTACAACGCTTCCTTGAAGCAGCAGGAGCTCGAAATGGTGTGCTTGGGCATTGAATAATATCGCGATACATATATGTTATTTGCCGGCTAAGGATCGGTCCGTATGGTGAAAAACTGTGACCGAGGTCTTGAAAATGCTGGCCGAGGTCACAGTTTTTCACCATACGGACCGACCCTTAGCCGGTAAATAACATTTTTTTTTTTAAACTTAACGAAACACATTCTGAAAGAACCCGAATGATTTAGGGCTATAAATACGGCAAGATCTTCCATAAACTGAACAATTTCTGAGCGAGTAAATGGTAGTTAAAGTAACGGTGATACAAATTAAGGAGAGATGCTGTTCTGAAACATTTTCACTTGCGTAAATAAAGGTGATTGAAAAGGCTTCCAAACAAAGTTTGAAACATTATTTTTACAAGTATCTGTCACAATCTGACACCTGTCAATTAGAGAGCGCGTAAGAAAAAAAAAGCGCAAGAAGATTTGAAAAACAACGGAACTAGTTTGGCAAGGACTGTCGCGACAATGTTTTCTTCAAAAACAATCAATGATATAACGGAAAGTATTATTCACTCTCATCGACGATTCATTCATGTACGAAGATTTACCTCTGTTCATTAAGTAAACGGCCAGGAAAGTAATTGTGAGTAAATTCAAATTTTTTATTTTGAAGTTGTGAGAGTTTGCTCGTTTGTTTGCTGCAACAGTGTATGTAAATCTGGTCTTTCCTCCACAAAAACGAAATTCGAACGGCACACTCCAACGAGACACAAGGGGATTTAACGCGGCCTTTTCTCAATAAATTCCTTCAGTTTCTGTTGTGCAATTTATGGTCCAAATGTCCAAATTGAACGGACTTTGAAAGACTCACCGAGAGCGTATATTTATTGTCGAACTGAAATTAAAACTTCGCTCGCTCTTTCACTACGAACAAATTGTTTGAGAAAATTCAGACATTAAATGAATGAAAGTTCCATTGTTCAGTTTACCTGTAACCAAATACCTCACGTTTTAACTTTCTATGTACTTTTTGTGAATGATTAAAATCAATTGCAGACGGTTTTTAGGTCGCTTGTCAACAACGTAATGACACTTTTGCCTATACAAATTCATTCTGAAACCAATATTTTTTTTGTCAGTGATTTGAGAGAGAGAGAAAAGAGAGGATTCATAAGTCGGCTTGAGGTAGTGACCGATGTATTTGCTTAAAAATACTGCCCAGCGGGAAAAACGAGGTATATTTCTGAAAAATGGCAACGAAATTTGAGCTGTACTCGGCGACTCACAAAAGCGTTACCGTGGCCCGTGGGCAGAGATAGGAAAATACTGATCGTGTAAAGAACCAATCAGATTGCAGGATTCGTTACCGTGCCGTGCTTAGGAAATCTTTGTGCAAATGCAAGGATCCGATTACTGGCAACTCATTCATTCGCGTTATGATTATAAATAATTGGATGGTGCTAATAGACAGAGTCATCGCACACTCCTGGGACTTAATTGTGTTACTGCCAAATACCTCTGGGCTGGTATCGTTGTTTGGGAACTGAAGATCAAAAATGTCTTAAACGCGTTTGGTAGCTTCCAGTTGAGGTACAAACAACTACAGGCTTTGATGGGCGATTAAAGCAAGAGTTCACATAACTCTATATAATGCTATCATTTCATTTTAGTTCCTATTTGCATCATCACTGTCCAATCCAAATTCTTCTTTGAATTTAACTTAACGCATAGTTGTTCTTGCAAAACATTAGTCCCATCTAGTTGTTGTCGAACTGATTGACTTGAAAATTTTCAACAAAAAATGTTATCTTTGTTACTACAACCTATTTGTTATGTTTATTTCATTTACTAGCCGACCCATGTTATAGTTATCAAAACCTGAGTGATGCCAATAGAAAGAGCAGTTACGTTACACCGTTAAATGGACCATCGTTGTGTGACCACTTACTCCCCAAAGGATGGTATCGTTTTGTGGGAGCTGCAGGAACAAAAATGCCCACAACACGTGTGCCAGCATACAGATGTGGTACAGACCGGCCAGGTTGGTTGGATGGTGCTCATCCTACAGTGGAAGATGGTGAAGTTTTCAGGAAGGTCTGCTTTAGTGATCGCTCTACTGGTTGCCGATACACAAAAAATATTTTTGTAAAAAACTGTGGATCCTACTTTATCTATAAACTTATAGAGCCATTTAGTTGTCCCTCACGCTACTGTAGTGCAGACTGAATGTGAAGCAAATATACTTCGCGTAGTACGAGAACACACAAATCGCTCCGTAGATACATGTATATAAAGTTTTGACATGTAAGGTTTCAACCTTTCTTCTCTATCGTAAACATTATCATCAGATTTTAGCTTTGGTGGCAAACAAGTACTTATCTCTTTAAAGTGATAATTCTCATCAGATAGCCTCTGTCATCAAAGAGAGTTGCCCCAAGTATTTAAGTAATCTTCCAGTAAAATCTGCAAGACACAAACTCTCAAGCTTAAGGTTTTCGAGCCTTTTATTTATGTATTTTTTTTTTCGTTTTTTTCCATCCTTCAATTGCTGTAATTATAAACCATGATTATTTTAGCGTATGTCCGTGGAATAAAAACAGGCGCTATCTTACGTTATAGGCGTAGAAAAAAAAGCGATGACAGTCAAAATCTGTTGTCCTTTGAAATTACGTAAAGTTAACGTATTAATAGTGACTCAGTATTTTGAAACATCGAACCAATTTCCAGAAACACAGTAAGCAAAATTCAATGGTTTAGCCTGCGTAACCGCGTGTTAAATGTGTCCGAATCGACCAGAATTCATTTGAAATTAATGGATCGCTTACATCTCACGCTTATTTTGAATCCAAGTTAAAGATCTTGACGCAATGGCTTCAAAGTGTCACTATAAAGCTTATTTAACTAAGAGCACGGGCACCTCATTCATTCAAGACGAAATTTGTTAAAATACTTTTATAGCTTTTAAAAGTTGACCTGTTTTACTACGGTTAATGTTTGCCTACAACATTAACACGCTAAAAGAAAGGTATTCAGAACTGCAATGTGTTAAAAACAAGTATTTAGGGCAGCATAGGTAAACACAAGTTGTAAACAACTTTCTACACCGTTTAAGTACATCACCAAAAATAATTTACAGGAATGTTAGATTTGAAATCAAAATCACAGTTTCTCTCGGCGAAGTTTTCCTTTTATATAATGCAAACATATTCAAAGAATCCTATGAAAAATAGTAAGCGCAGAAAAGAAACCCACTCTCACCGTAACCCCCAAAGGCTACTGCCTGATATTTCAATATTCTAACTAAGACTAGTCTTCCAATCATTTGATGTTCATTTGTCTCTAATTTACCATAAGAGACCTGAACACAGAGCAAATGAGGCAAAGCAAGGCGAGTTTCTTGACAACGTATCAAAATATAGAAAAATCATCGGTAGACTCTTCAAAGCAAAGTGATATGAGCTGGGTCAATCGTGGCTCAGCTTCTTGAGTGGTGTAAATAAATTATCTCATTATTTAACAAAAACTGTGTATCTCTTTGTAAATAAATTTAACTTACACGGACTATTTTTAGCTGAGTTTCATAACACGAACACGAGTAAGCGTTAAGGGCAGTGTAGTCCATGGGTCGGAGTAGGTTCTCGATACCACTCATCTGATAACGATCGCGAAAGAGTAGCTTTCACCGTTTTTTACTGAAGTTAATGTCAATAACCAAGGAAAAATAACAACAACAAGGAAATGTTGCAGTGAAGTAAAAACAGAGCCATAAATAAAAACTGGGTTTAACTTTACATCGCAACGATTCAGTAACAAATGGAGAAAGTTATTGAAAAAGATTTTTAACGTAAGGAACAGAAAAAGGAAAATAAGGTAATTTTTAACTTAATATTGAACATTTTTCTTGATTAATTGCAAGTAGTTTTCACAAGTAATGTTTGAATTATGAAGTTAATAGTAATAAAAAAAAAAATTGCAAAAAGGCATCTCTTGTAGTTCATGCCTTCGTTAGTGCTAAGGGATGTACATAAATTTGATACCCGTACGGGACAAGGGACAAAGGGGAGGGGGAAGGTTCTTTATAAAAGAACAATGGGAGGAATCATTGTTGCCTTTAGGACCTGATAGTAATAATGGATACCTTTTGCATTGATGTACAAAAATTGCTCTGAAAAAATTCATATTCACATTCCGCTGGTAAATGAAGTTATCGATAAAATGTGTAAACGCACTGGGCGGTTAACTTCGCTCGGTTAATATATATTTTTCCATAAATGAATCAGTCGGAACTGTTGCAGAATAAAGTCTGGTAATAAAACCAGGTGCTGTAGTATTGCCCATCGTCTTCCGTTGCCGGATTCCATCATTTATCCTGTCGATGTCATCTGTCCGGCAGAAGGAAGTGAATAACGTTTTCGTACACCACAAATGTAAGTGCACATGCTGGCGTTACTCTAAAAAGAAACAAAATCAACAACAATCAAACGCACAATACACAGTAAAATCGACAATGAACGTTTTACATATATTACAGTTTCAGGGTTTCTTCTAAAGCGCTCCTTTGCTGGATTTCCAAAAACAAAAAAACCGCTAAAACTTACACTAACATATCAGGTGGGGCACAAACATTCGTGATAACGATAAGTATCTTAATAATTTCACAGTATTCGAACATGCAACTGACGAAAACAATGACATGACACCTACTCCAGATTTTATAGCCTCTTAATGTATCTATCGCCTGTCTCTTCTTCCCAGTTTCTCACAGACTAGAGAGTGCAAATAAGTTCAAACACCTTATGGGGTACCCCATCTCTTAAGACCCTCTCCTTTACAAAGCGCTACCTAAAATTAAAGATGAGAGCCCACTAAGCCCTCTTGGCCAATTCTAGATTATACATTGCGGTTTAACACATAAAACTAACAAGCAAATCTACTTGAATCATCAAATTTACTTTTAACATTTAGCCTTACCTGAGGACACTGGGAATTAATCCTTTATAAAATCCTGTTATTCCTTCATGCCTAAGATTTTGAAAAGAACCTGCCGTGAGGAGAGGCCAGAAAAAGAAGAATACCTTCTTTCATAAAAATGTGGACTTTACCTCTAAGCTGTAAGTCAATCCGAAATTGGATCCAGTTCTCAAACAAGCTGGTTTCAGTTCTCAGCCAATTTTGGTCCAGTTCTTTGTCAAATTGTTTCAAACGGGCAAAACATGTACCTCTCTTTAATGTAGAGGGTTTGAACTGACTAGAGATGGAAAGCTAGTCTATAATGTATCGAAAACTTTAAGTCCTCGTGTCAAGTTCCAACTTACCTGAAAGTCTTACTAATCACATCCAACGCGCCTTCGTATTCCACCATCGTGTACTGATTCTTTAGAAAAGTAAAATTCATGAACAATAAATGACAGCAGGAAACAGTAAATACTGAACGATTTCACAAATCAGACTTGCTTAGAGACAGCTCCAGATATACTCAATTGGTTTTAGCTAATTTTATGGGCACAGGATCAAAACTTTCGCGCCGTGCGTTCTCATAACCATCTTGGATCCTTGTTTCTTAAGAGGAATAGAGAGAGTGAAAGAGGGTGAAAGCTATTCTCCCTCGTGAGATTTGGTATTTATCCTCATTGTAGGGTTTCCCTGGCCTTTTGTTGGTGCCCATTTGAACCACTGGGAGGGGGGATGTGTGGGGCTAACGAATCTTTTTCCAAGGAACCGACACAATGACCAAGCTGAGCCTCGAGGCCCGAGCACAGGCCACATCAAACTGGAGTCCAGTAAACCAACCGATGAGATCACCGGCCTGAAAACTAAAAACAGCCTTAAACTACAAGTTTATTTCAAGATAATAGCATACAACAGTAAAACGAAATCTAAATCTGTCAAAAGGTTAATCATTTGCTAATGAATCTCCCATTCTAACCTGAAGTCTTGCTCTAATCACTTGATAAGGATATGTCGCTGTTGCGGCGAAAATTTTCGACAATGAAGCCATTACAAGGTACTCAGTTGAACTCTATGAAGAAAATGAAAGTTAGCAAAACATAAATTAGAGAGCAATACACTTTATATAAAAAAAGAACTACTATATTTTCAGCACTTCAGAGTGATTCCCAAGATAACCCACGGTTACATAATAATAAACGTCATCCTATTAGTACCTTCCTACCAGCCACATGTACAACAAAGGTAATAGAGGTTGTCTTTTGGACGTCAGTTGTAGCTTCAAAATGCTGAAGCTCGTCATGGAGGACTACTACTCAAGATGAGAAGCCAAAAACTTCCCCCACCCTTCCCTCTCTCATGTTCTCCCTTTACATTCGCCAATGGCCATTACATGTGTTCGTGTTAACCCTTTACACCCTAACATCAATATTCATAATCTCCATACTGTTCTCTGTACATTTCCAAAGATACTGAAAAGGAGAATTTCTTAAACAGTCAAGAGCTTTTTCGGTGGCTGAATATTTCCTCTATTCTCATGACCTCCATGTGTGATTCAGAGGTGATGTTGTAAGGAGAAGTTAGATGTCAGTCATTCTTAGGGGGGGAGGGCAAAGGGTTGATTCTTATCAATCCTTCTGGGTGCAGAGGGGAGTTGAGAGAAAAGTTTCGTTCCAGTAAATGACAACACTTCAATCATCCACCCTAAGCTATTAACATGATCAGAGTAAAAGTACTTCACATGTTTTGTACGTCAAGGATTAAGATCAAGAGTTTCTTGTTTGCTAACTCGGTTGAATTTGTGAGCTTTAACACGTATACAATCAACTATACAGACACGTGCAGACAGTATTCACCAGCTTCTTGTTGATTGGTGTTCCAAAATATTGACTGTACCTTTTTTCAGCTCCTCATAGGCCATGAATTGCAGTGCTACGTGTGATACGCCAAAAATACCTGGAACGTAACCCTGGTCAAGAAAAATATAATGATATGAGCAAACTTCATGTTCCACCCAAACACATAAACTCAGGTAAACTCTAAGCTAGGCAAAGATAGCGAGGTCTTAACTCTAAGACTGATGTTTGTGCTTCTCTTGTTTTTGCTCTTTCCTTCCCTTTTTCTCTTTTTGATTGTTTTTTTTCCTCCTTTTTTTAAGGAGGTTTGAAAACCACTGTTGGCTTAGTGCATATGCAGCAACCAAAACATACTAACTACAATATTACAATGTTTTACATTAAGTCTCAAAAGTGAATATCAAAGACATAATAGTGATTGCA